CATGGGCAACGCAGCACTACCGTTTCAATGGAAAGGAACAACAAGGTTCACCGTGAAGAAAGACTACGAGTACATCCAGGAGAACCACGATGAAGAACAACAACACGAGCATCATGAAGCACACAGAGCAAGAGGACTACGACAACCACAGCAGCCCACTCCACAACAAATAGCAGAACACAACCTTACACATCTACCATACAGAAACTGGTGTCCAATTTGCGTTCAAGGCAAAGGACGCCAAGACAACTACAAGAAACAACAATCACGACAACCTGTCATTCAAGTAGACTTTGCCTACATCAAGTCACAACAAGACCCAAAGACCACACCGGTACTGACAGCAGTTGATGTTACTACACAACTGTGTATGGCAGTATTGGTTCCAGACAAATCATCAATGATGGACTACATGGTCAACAACCTACAAGCATTCATCTTTGAGTGCGGAAGAACACAAGGCATACTACAAAGCGACAACGAAGACACACTCAACGCACTTCTAAAAGCTACAGCAGCAAAAGTCGGCACAATGAGTGTACGACATTCACCTTCCTACAGCAGCAACAGTCAAGGAAGCGTTGAGCGACTACATAGAACACTTCTCGGACAAATCCGCGTCGTCAAAGCCCAGGTTGAAAGCAACTACAGCATGACGATGTCCACAAAGCACTGTCTACTACCTTGGATAGTACGACATGCAGCATGGACGGTAAATCGCTACGTCATCCACTCAGACGGCTACACAAGCTTCGAACGCCGGTGGGGAAGAAACTACGAGCGAGCAATCTGCGAATTTGGTGAGACACTACTTTACCTTCCACCACAACACAAGAAACTTCCAAAAGCAGACCTACGGATGCAGAAATGCATCTGGCTCGGAAAAGTTTCCGAAACCGGAGAAAACTATACGTCGCAACGGAATCAGGCGTACAAAAGGTACGAACAGTACGAAGACTACAACCGGACTTCAAATACGACCTCGCACTGTTGAACAAAGTTTCCGGCACACCATGGGCACCACGACGGAACACCTACAACCCATCGTTCGCAACACTGCTGGACACGCAACTACAACCGTCAGAGAAAAGAAGGTCCACGCAAGAAATCGGACAACAAACGAACGCTACGGACGACATCGTTGCGGAACCCGCAACAAAGCAACAACGCACTACACCACCTCCACGACTTCCGTCCACATCGACGTCAAGTTCACGACCACTACGGGAAAGTCCTATGGCTACTTCACCAACCGGACGACAACATCCACCACTACCAGCACCACCTCGACAAACACTACGACGTTTAACTCCGGAAGAAGATGGAAGAAGTAATGCAACCAACTAAAGCACAGAAGACCTCAAAGGACACTACAATCAGATCAACGGAACAAGCAACCAAAGAACCACCACCACTACGACAGAAAATCAACGCAGTGACACTTCCCAACGGAAAAAACCATCACTCCCTACACAAACGACGACACCTCAGAAGACCAACCCATAATCTTCGACAACGAAGGTTACGACGAAACACAACTACTGGAAGGAATGAAACACGAGTCAAACCAAATGAAACTACACGACGTCTACGACGAAGTAGATGCGTCTACCGTCGACGACAACGTCATCAGAGAAGCGATGCCTACAAGATGGGTACACAGAAAGAAAGGACCAGGAGTACGAAGCCGAATCGTCGCAAAAGGCTACACCGAGAAGATCGAGGACGAAGACTCCGTCTACGCCTCTACACCAATGTTCACGACACTCCGGACACTTCTCGAACTAGAAATGTCACGACCAAACTGGATCGCGCGACTAGGTGACGTCTCTACAGCATTTCTACACGCACCCATCGCAAAAGATCACGACGGTAAACAACGTGACGTCTACCTTTGGCCACCTAAAGAACTTTGTCCACAACAGGACAAAATCTGGCGTAAGACTAAAGTCAGAACCCAACGTCTACACCAATGCGACTCGCGACTGCTACATCATGGTCTACGTGGACGATCTACTAGTACTTGGAGACAAGACCGCAGTCGACTCCACTTTCGAGGCCGTCCAGAAGCAGGTACTACTCAAGCACATCGGCTACCTCGAACCTGGCAAACCACAACAATTTCTTGGAAGAAACATCGACCACTTCGGCAACTACTGCAATCTTGGACTAAAGGACTCCTACATCGACAACATGATCGAGGAGTCTGGAATGAACAACTGCAACTCAGTAAACACTCCAGGAATTGCACACTACAAACCAACAATAGAAGATGAAGCACTACTTGACCACGAACAACACAAAAGGTACAGAAGAATTGTTGGCAAACTTCAATGGTTAGCATACACACGACCAGACATTGCATACTCCACAAAAGAACTAGCACGAGACCTCACAGCACCTACAGAACTTTCACAAAAGAGAGTCAAACATCTACTACGCTACTTGCACGGCACCAAGCACTACAAATTCACCATAGAACCAACAACAACACTCAGAGCAAACACCAACAACATCCTGGATCTCGACGTTCATGTCGATGCCGACTGGGCAGGATGCCCTACTACCAGGAAATCAACTTCAGGTTTCAACATCATCTTTCTAGGAACAACAGTTGCATTTGGCAGCAGAACACAAGCTACAATAGCACTTAGCTCAGCAGAGTCTGAACTCTACGCCATTTGCACAGGAGTTAATGAGGGACTACACCTCAGAAACTTCCTACTTGAAACCAACATTTGCAGCAAGCTAAACCTACGCATCCACACAGACTCCACAGCAGGCAAGAGCATTGCTACACGACAAGGCACTAGCAAACGAGCAAAACACATCGACCTCAAATTCCTCTACACACAAGACCTCATCAAGCACGACATCATCAGAATCCTTAAGATCAACACACTCCACAACAGCGCAGATTTGTTTACCAAATACATCAGCAAAGAAACACTACACAGGCTCATCCAGAGCATTGGAATACGCATCTAGCACTACGAACGACCAGCGCAGCAGTTTCACAACAACAACAACGACTTTGGACATTTCATGTATGTAAGTAGCTACATGTAACACGACACTTTTGGTATGTAAGTAACAGTAACTACATGTACTTTCACTTGCACTTTTGGCGGCTTGAGTCAACACTACAGTTGTTTGTTTTACATGTCTGCATTCGCCGACTGCCTGGTAGCAACTACTTAGGCTCATTTGTTTTGCCCCGTTTCACTACATTTTGCATTCCACTGCAGCCATGGCCGCTCCATCTACTGCAGATGCTACGATGGGAGACGCCACTACGCCCGACAGGGCGACTACACCTGAGGTGGCGGTCACTACAGACTCCAGTGACCATGGAACTCCACCACCTCAAACCTACAACGACTCCAACTACCACTTCAACCATTCTACACCCGGCAACACCGTCTACTACAACCCGACCACAGTGATGGACCAACTACACATCACTGAGCACCAGACAACCACTGCACCACCACTGCCCGACAACATTCCCTACACTCAATTTTTCACTGCATTTACACTTGAAGAGTATCAACTACTCTCACAACAACAAGCTACTCCACTGGCACAACTGGACTACACACGACCCATTCACTGCATCCCTGGAGATCTTCGGATGCCACACTACAATTCCACACTGCTCAGCATTTCACTACCTGAAGCAGCCAACGTCCACTACTACCACACGACTTCACTCCACACTACAACTGGCGACAACACCAACTATGTCATCATCCAACTCCAGATTGAACAACCACTACTCCTGAGGTACCTCACTTCAGGACAATTTCTACACTTCACAAGGGACTACATCTCCTACATGATGTCGGTACAACACAACTACTACCTCCCGACTACAACACTGCCACAGACCATCTTCAAGGTGAACTACAACATGACCACATTCACTGCCAACTACCGACTCAGGAACAACTACGTTTGGAATTGCCACATGCCACTACTTCTACCTGAACTACTCCATTACCTTTACAACTGAGACCAACTACACGACTTCCAGCACAAAGCAATCACCACAATCCTCTGCAAAAGCATCCAATACTACGGATTCACACTACTCACAATGACCAACCTCACACAACACCACAAAGCACTACTACACCGCTTTCTACGGGACTACGACCAACACATGTCGTGTCCCGAGATTGATGATGAGCGACTACGGGGAGCTTCACACTACATGACAACCTTTTTCACCACCAACTACTACGCGACCTTGGACAGTCGACTACAGATGGTCCAAGCCTACCGCACCCAGAAATGGGGACTACATTTTTGAGCTCCTGCTCTACTACAACAAGTGCCTGCCTTCACTACTTCCGTCCAACGCCCTACATCGAGCTGGAACCTGAACAGCGTGAACTACTGAGCGCAGGTCACTACTTTTGCCAATACAGTAGAATTGATGAACAACAATGGTTTTCATCACTACTGTCAATCCATGTTTTGCACTTCAGTTGAAAAGGTACTACAAAGACCTTTTAACTGAGGGGCCGTGTCAAACTACATGCTTCACTTTGCACTCTTGTTGCATGTATGTTCACTACCGCAGGCCTTGAGCTTACTACTCCGCATGAGTCAAAAGGTTGGCAGCTGCAGACTACATTGGTTGACTGATTGTTTGAACACTACAGCACTTGCACTTGTAAGCAAAGTAACAACTGATTTTAACGAGAGAGAGAGAGAGAGAGAGAGCTAGTTCTTGTAGGATTGAAGCTTCCGCCAACCAGCTTCGTCGGTTTTGCTGGTTCCCCGCATTGGCATTGGAGCGTTATGGTCCATCCACCCGCAATAGAGCTCCGCAACAGAGGCTGGATCCAACGCAAAGGCGCCAAAAGAGGTTGGTCTCATGACTCCGGGAACCAAGGAAGCCAACCTTCGCACCTTTTGGTTTTACTTTATGCTCACGCTCTCCAAGACTCGACCTTTGGCTTTTGGGTCTTTGGGCATGTTTCGGGACCAAGGTTGCCACCTGTGGCACGCTTGGGCCCGCCGCCCCGCAAGAAGAAGCCCGGGCCTTTCGCGGCGAAGGCGCTGAAGGCGAAGGCGACGTCTACCAAACTGGGTGGTCGCGGGCCGGCTCTAAGGATGCTTGGGGCTGACCACAGTGCTCCTAAAGCTTTGGCGACCATCCCACAGTTTTGCAATTCGGCAATGCCTCCCACCAACACGGAACCTGCCACATTGACCCCCTATCAGGTCCCACGTTGGGTGGATGGCAGTGTATATTCCTTTCGGCAGTCTTGCCATCGTTTGGTGGCTGCAAACATCGCATGTGGCCCAATCGAAGAAATGCGTTTCCTTTTCGTGGGTATCTATACCGGGGAAGGGAATCCAAGCGACGCAGACAGACGGCGGGCTGGCCTCGGGATGGGATGTGCGGCTCTTGGGCTCGGACCAGCAGCGCGGTCGGCATTTGGAGCGGTCTTTTCTCAGCTTGTTGGTTTGCTTATGCTTATGCAGGCCTACACAGGCCTTTTGAGGCCCAAAATCTTTTCGCAGCTTTCGTTTCACAGGTGACCTTTGAACCTGTTCGTTATCCAGCTAGCTGAAACCCATCGAACCAGCCCCTCTTCTATTTGTCCAGCAGATAAAGACAACTCAGCTTTATGTGTCCTTGCTTTGAATTTGATTGAGCATGAATGAGCTCATGATGGGTTCCGCTGGTTTCAGTCTAAATCGCTACGCATTGACCAGGGCCATATGCTCAAAGGACTAGGCGACCTTCACCCTCAGCTTCACTTGTCTTGGACACGCAAGGCCAGAGACGGTTGAATCCCAGCTGCCCACGGATCCTGAGCTGTAGCCTTTTTGTCCCGTGCGCTTTGTTCTCCACGGGTTTTAGTTCTCTTAAGATCAAGCATTGCAGTTTCATGGCCACTTGCCAGGGGATTCCCTTGAATGGTACGTTTGGGTGAATAGAATGACAAGAGCGCACGTTTGGGTCATCTCTCCATTCGCAAACAGAACACTGACTTCCTTTGCATGGGCTTAACGTTCAGAGGCCAGCAGTTGCATGGCGCTGAGGCAACTCTGCCATTGGTGGCAGAAGGGTTACCGCTACGATGACATGAGCTGGTATGGTCTGGAGCATGCCTGATGGAAAATGGCTCTGCTTTTTGGCCAATCGTTCGCATGGTGCCCGTAGAACTTGAGGTATCCCAAAGGTCTAAGGTGCGTTGCACCAAACCACTAGTCCCACGAGGGGGCGGCTGCATGCATTTGATTTACTTGGGACGATGGTTTGGGGGTGGTTCGCACCATTCTCGAGGCGAGGCACATGGCATTGGCAGTATTTCGCACGGAGTGAGAGGGGGATTGACACATCGAGCTCGCACCCATTTGTGATTTGTGACGGGTGCGCGTGTCGGATGTTTTGTGGCAGGGGCATTGGAGTCAAGCCGTTTCCGGCGTAATTTGGCGGGCTGCGTCAGATTTTTATTCACCTTTCGCATGCCCGTTTTGCCTATCAAGCTGCACGGCCGGCCGTGAAACGAATCGGCCCTGCAACGGGCAGCCATGGATGAAGTTCGATTTCAGCAGGTCCTGGATGAAGCATGGCTATCTTTCAGGTGCCAGCTTTTGCAGGCGCGCTTCAGCGTCGCGGATCGGAGCAATGCTTCCCTCCTGGTCCGGTGGGCCCTCATGAGTTGAGTGATTCCTTGGAAATCCATCCCAAACACCGTTGCCACTTGTTGCAACTCTTTCGTTGCAGGCACTGAAGCAAACAGAACATAGCGCCGGACAAGTCAATCAAGGTGCATCCTTGCCCCAACACCGTCCGTCCAAAAACCCGGTCTGGCATTGGCATTTGCATTTCATCTATTGAATTGCTTATCGGGCGATTGTGGGCTTGCCGACCGTTTGTTCAGGCGCGTGTTCCTCAAACACAGGGACCTCTTGGTGTCCTTTTCCACATCTCCATGGCCGCCTAAGGCAAACTACAAACGCTCCTTCCCTGTTTCGGTTCAGGCTGAACCGGCATCACCTTGGCAAGCTGAAGCTTTGTTTCTTTTAAGGCCCTCGGGGACAACCTATCGTGGTTGGAAAACCACGGGCTTCGGAAGTTTGAACCCCCAGTGCCAAGTTGCTCATGGAGCGAAATGGGGATCGGCGAAATCACTGACAAGCCAGACCGCCAACCGTGGATGGACATAATCTAACAGTTGGGATGGCTGAGAGTTCAGGACACTAAATGGCTTCCAACCCAGGATTTTATACACAAACAACAAACGACTGAGAAAACCACTCAATATCAATCTGGAAAACTTCCAACTTGGGAAGGGTCAGAGAAACTGAGAAACAACTCAGCCCTAAGCTCGATCCCCGCACTTGAATTGGAGGCTGAGTCTGGAGCCGAGGTTTGGTTGGGGAGGAAATCCCAGTTTGCCCCTAAGAAAACATAAGCACACCTCAAGAAAAACCACATAGGAGGGGAAATGCAAATTTTGCCAGGCCCGCCCTGTTTCCTTCGAGCGTGTTTGGGGGCTGAGTTGCTTTTGAGTTCTGTTCTGAGTTTGTGCCTGTTCTTCCGGGGGAAACCGCAGATTTCCTTCCCAACCAAAGCCCTGCCGGAGTGTTTGTGAGTTGTCCTTTGTTTCAGTAGTCTTAGGTTGTGCTTGTTTTTAGGTCAGTGATTTCAGTTGAGTTTGTTTGCTGGCTTGCTGTTTTTCTTTTTGTTGTTTTCGGTGGTCCTCCTGCTTGAGCACATCCGGTTGTAACGTTATAATCCATTCAACAGGTCATCCACACAGTATGTAGCGCCCCAAGGAACTGGGAATTTCTAAAAACTGTGAACTCCCGTTTGGTAGGTAATTCGGGGGAAGCCAAGAGAAAGCCAATCGTTTTGGGGGACACTTCCCCATTCTTTCCAGGGATCCTTCTTTCCAGAAAACCATCAGAACCCTCGGGCAAACAGCTGGCTTTTCGAAAAGAACGATGGTTGAAAAGAATGGAAGAGGAATCAACCCCTGGGATCACTTTGGACCTGAAAATCCACCGGCGTTTCCCGTGCAGGCGCACGCAGGTGATGCCCCCGGGCCCGGCTCCGCTACGAAGAGCGACTTCCAGTCCAGCCTCGCGAGCCGGGATAGCCACAGGCGGAAACCCGCAGCGGGCTTGGTGATGGGGATGCTGTGGGGCTCATTTCGGTTCCAACTATTTCCTCCAGGGTTGGAACCAAATCTGAGCTCCCAACCCAGACACCTTGCCCCTTTTTCTTGTGGCCGGAGTGAGGGTTTCAAGCGTGTCCAGTGCGTGAGTTCCTTGTCGGTCGGCATGCCTGCACAGAGGGGAACACCATGCTTTCTGGAAAGGGCCAAATGTGTTATCTAACTGCTCCCCTGCACATTTGACTTCATGGCAGTCGACCGCCGCCGAGCGCGAAACGTATCAAAGTAATGTTATGTGAATGCGTTCAGTGCCTTGGATTGCTGGGCGGTGGGTGGAAAGAGCCCTGTCACGTCGCATGTGTTCCAGATGTGTAGGTAGTTGATATTTTTGTAAGGACCTTACATGACCAAAAACATGCGCATTCTGCTTCCAAATGGTTGTCGCCTTGTCCTGATTGGCCCCGTGGTCCATTGAGAGCATCGCAAGGAATCAGAATGCACTTTGATGATCTATTGCAGCTGGCTCATTCTTGCATGTTGACAGGTGAGACCACACGTCTTAGCACAAAGGTGGCTGGCCTGATGAGCCATTGCTGAAAAACCCTCAGAGACGTTTGCATGCCACCGCAAAGCGATCAACGATACCTTGGAACACCTTTCTAGGCTTGACAACCGCACGCTCAGAATTGCTGTCGTGACATAGGCCTGGAATCAGCCGGCGTGCACACGAAGAAACACTGTGTGAAGCCGCCTCAACAGAAAGCGCTGTGACATGGGGCAGCTTCGGGTTTGCCTTTGGGTTCCATGTTCCTTTGCAACCAGTAAGGGCTTCCCCCTCTACAGGGGCGTGCTGGACTTTTGCCAGGCACCGGGTCCGCACGCTGACCTTTGACATAGACGACGAGATCTTGCGGCCGCCCCCAAGTGCGCGACCCTCTTTGCTGCATTGACTTAACTAGCATTTTTGCTACCTACGCTTGTTGAATCACTATTCGCCCCAAATGCAACACTCACACATATACGTATATATATATATGCTATTCCCCCCTCCCCAAAACCTAGGTTTATTAATTTTTCAAGTGGATTTGTGCCAGCAAGGGTTGCCACACAAGGTTCATTCTGATAGCGGGCCAGGTTGGTTTCGTCACTCTTCAAATGGATTTGTGCCAGGGTGGATTGAGGAAGTGTCATTTTAGTTGATTGAACAGCCCCGGCTGAACAGAAGTGAAGACAGACAGTGCCCTGATAGCTGACTTACAACATGGAGGCGCCACAGGTCTTTGTTTTCTGCCATCTGGTTTCACCACTCTTCAAATGGATTTGTGCCAGAGTGGATTGAGGAAGTGTCATTTTAGTTGATTGAACAGATGAGGATGAACAGAAGTGAAGACAGACAGTGCCCTGACAGATGACGAACAGATGAGGAATGAAGCGGTGGTGAGTGACATGCCCTTTCACCCAACCACCATTCTATGCTGTAGGTGAAAGACCTGAGATTACAGTAAAGGAAAAGAGACGGAAAGAGATGAATGGTGGTGAGATTTGTTTGTCACCATCTGGTCATTACATTTGGTCTCTCTCTAAGACTCATCCAAATGTAACCCAAATAGTCTTAAGATGTTTTTTTTCATTAATAGCCGCTGTGTCTTTTCTATCTCTTGGACACAGCTATTTTCATATTGTATTTTGTTCCTTTCATTTGTATTCCTGAGATTCTATAAGATACGAAAGGTAAAATAACAATAAAAAAGAAAGGGAGATGATGATGGGTGACGAAGGAACAGTGAGATGACACGGGAATGAAATGGTGGGTGAAAAGATGTCCACCGTTCTAGTCCTTTCGGTAGTTCCTAGGGACACAAATATGCAATATCAATGTATACAAATAACCTGACAAAGAGATAGAAATATAAAATATGAAGATTAAATAGAAAAGCAGTTAATAACTAATAGATCTTGAGATGACGGTGAGGGATATTCCTCATCCAATTTCTAATGCTGGACGAGGTCATATCTCCCCATTCCTTCCTTCTGTACCTCTCCTAACCATCTGGATCCGGAGATGAAGGGAAAAGACAAGGCGGCCACACGAAGGAATGGGCCGGGTGAGTGGGTTTGTAGGTGACATCTCTTCATTTGTCACCTAATATTTGAATTGTGGATTTTGTAAATATACATCCATTCCAATGCTCTTCATCAATAATTTTACAGATAAATCCAAGATGAAGGAAAAGAGAAAGCAATGAAGAGACAGATGAATGGGATCCCTTTCACCCATTCATATCTTCTCTTTATTTACCATCTTATATTTCCCTCCTCTTCATCCACAATGATTTCCAAGATGAAGGAAGAGGAAATCATTTGTGTGTCTTTTCAACAGACTCTTGTCTACAAATGTGCCTGGTGCCCTTTTGTTTAGCAGGTATTTCATGTGGTGAACTCAGCACGCTGGGAAATTCTGCATAACATGTTGCAAAAACCTTGCAAAAATGCACGAGCGCACAACTTCAAACACATGCACCTTAGCAGCACCAAATGCATGTTTTTGTAGACACTAGAGCAAAAACCCTGGACACATGATGATTTTCTATTTTGGTAGTAAAAGTGAACAAATACAAAGTAACAGAAACCAAGCAAAGTGAAACAGTAAAATTGTAAACAAGTAAAAAAGTAAAGTATCTCGACCCAAAAAAACGGAAAAAACAAGTTTTAAAAGAAAAAGAAAAGAAAATAGTAAACAGTAAAAAAGTAAGAAGTAAAAAAGTAAAAATCTGGACTCATGAAACGTAAAAAAGTAAAACCCGCCAAAAGAAAAAAGACTAGGTTTTTCTACTTTATTGGGAAAAAGTAAGAAACAACTCATTTTTTACTTTTCCCCAATAAAAGTAAACACCCCCTAGTCTTTTTTACTTTTTCCCCATAATTTTACTTTTCCCCATAAAAGTAAAAACACCCTAGTCTTTTTACCTTTTCGCAATGAAAGTAAAAAAAGCCCTAGTCTTTTTTTAACTTTTGGCTGTTTTACATTTTTACTTTTCATGAGTCCTTACTTTTTTCCTTTTTTACTTTTTTCCCTTTTTTTCTTTTTTACTTTTCATGGGTCCAGAAATTTTACTTGTTTACTTGTTTACTGTTTTATTATTTTACTTCGCTTGGTTTCTGTTCCTTTGCATTTGTTCACGTTTACTACCAAAAGAGAAAATCATCATTTTTCCAGGGTTTTTGCTCTAGTTTCTGCAGAAACATGCATTTGGTGCAGTAAAATGCATGTTTCTGGAGTTGTGTGCTCACTGCATACATGGAAAAACATGCATTTTTGCAGGGTTGTTACAATTTGTTATGCAGAATTTACCAATGTGCTGACCTCCCCCCCCCCCCCCCCCACAAAACCTAGGTTTTTTTTGGGGGGGGTTACCATAAAAATATACATATGTGTGTGTTAATGGTTGCGTTGCCAAGATTCACGAGTCTTGAGATGCTTGGTCAAAATGTATACCGCCTCCCTGTTGCCCGCATACCACGTGTACGATTTGATAAGTTTGGTTTCTCCCGAGTCATTTGGTTTCCATGCTACCCACGGTTTCCTGAGTCTGGACGGAGGTTGATGCAGCCTAACGCGCAGCCGCACATCGCCACCATCGAGGAGGAGTTCCCCCCCCCGCCATTGCCCTTTGAGCCGGCGCCGAGGACCTGTGATTTTGCGGCGTGGTGCGGGTTGGATGGCAACGACTCACGTCACGCGGGTCGATGTACCCTGCAAACCAGGTTTTTCAACCAGTGGAACGTGTGTTGATCTCGCACATGCATGCCTGCGCGAACGAGACCCGTTCATGTGCAACGTTCACATTTAGCCAAGTATGCTAAATGTCGGCGTCTACATGGGGAGAAATTATGGACGGCCAAAATCCGAGCACTCATATGTCACTACGCAAATTAGTACAAGCTCACCGATCCACAGTAAAATGAGCTTGGGCTCCAATGGGTCCCAAGTTGCTAGTAGATAATCTAAATATTCAGATAGTGCAGGTCCACGATGGCTGACTTTTGGTCACAAGTTTGGGCGGGCCCATGTCTATGATGCGCCCTCATTGATGGCGGATGCTACAAACGGCCAGCAAGTGGGCCCCCTGAAGCATTTGTAGATGCACATCTAAGGTGATCGTTCAGATCGGAGGACTCATTTGGCCTTTTTGTCCTCGTCCCTCTCCCACCAACATGATATGGGAGCCTCCCTGAGTTGAACGAGCAAGGACATCAAAATCAGTTTTTTTTCTGCAACTGCCTCGTGGGCGGCTTTGGGAATGGCAATGTTATGACTCAATCATCGCACAAGTTCGGTGCTGAAGTGCTTACGGCGGACATTTTGTTGAAGGAATTGAGTGAACCCTATTGCCAATTCCAACCTCCCAAATGGGTCTGTGTTTCTTGGAGAAACCCAAAATTCACCTTGGCCTATAAGGAAAACCAGCAGTTTTTTGGGGACCCCGGAATTTGACATGTACACATCTGGGGTCATCATTTGACTGTTTTCTGGGGGGCCTCACAGTCAGAAAATGGGTTGGTTTCCCTTTTTCCCCACCACTCAGTTGGCTGGTAAAATGATGAGGCCAGCACTTTGTTGGTGCATTTTGCTTGGATGTGAGGACTTTACCTTTTTGCCAACCAATGGGTTTTCTATTAAACCACTAAAAGTTAAGCTTTTGGCAGGGGAGCAGAAAGCAGAGACATGAAAGTGCGGATCCTAGGAGAAGCTCCGTGCGCAGCTCTCGCACCTCCCAGCGCTCCCAGCGCTCCCATGTCTCCAGCCACAACCACACTGATTCGGTGAGCGGCGCCCCGGCGAGAGAGACGGCGACCCAAATGGTTGGTTGAGGCACGTTGGCAAAGCCGAAAACAGTGATCAAGTCACAAAGGTAGACAATCGTTTTTTGTTTCTTTTATTTTTTCTGATCGTTTTTGGGGAGCGGGCCAAATCACAAGGGTAGAACATAGGTGTTGTGCTTGTAATTGTCGACCTGTACCGTGCCTCTGGAGCTGACGGGCACTTGAAGCGTGCAAATGTGGAGGTAGAGGCTGTAGCTGTTGTATAGGTGGTTTAGTGATTGCAATGGTGGTTGCAGTCGTTGAAGTCATTGTAGCCATTGTAGCGGTTGTAGTGCTTACTGTTGTGTTAAGTAGTATTGGAGTTTACGTTGTTGGAGTTGATTGGCATACGTGATGGCCGTTGCTTCCGCTGCCGCTGCTGCTGCTGCTGCCACGGCTGCTGCTGATGCTGATGTTTCTCTTGTGTTTTGCATTATCTCGTTCTTCTTCTCTGAGTGTTGGCACTAGTTGTGTTGATGTTGGTGTTGGTATTGGTGTTGTGCTGGTGTGGTTGTAGCGGTGGTCGTTGCTGTTGCTGCCGGCATTGCCATTGCTTCTGTTCTCTTGCTGGGGCCCGGTGGCTGGTATCGTCTTCTCCTTGTGCTTCGTCTCCATTGCAGTTGGCTAAATTGGCGATGGGCGTTTCTTTGTCCAATGGGGCAGCGCATCTTTTTCCTGAGCAGCCCAGTTGAGTGACATGGACTATCTGGCAATCAATGTGAGCCAGTGACATTGTTGATTTCTGCTTTTGTCTAGGGACATGTGGAACGCCCAATTGTTGGTTCCTTGCAGGACTGGAACGAGGACCTTCATGTTAGGAATTTGGAATTTGTGCTGAAGGTTCCAGGCCCGAACTCTAGGCTTTTAGTTTTTCAAGCTGAACCCTTCATTTTCAGGTCAGTGAACTTGGATGTTGGAGGAGCGTGGCCTTGCGCGCACATGCAAAGCTGCAAGTGGTTGCTGAAGACTGCAACCATGCGCTTATGGTCCGCAACATGGAGCATCACGCACACGCGGCAGCAACTTTTGTAGTGAAAGGAATGAGGTGCGCTTGCTGAAGTACCGTTCAGTTAGCATCAATATTCGCCATGGCCAAGATGTCAATTTGAGGGCCCAAATTGAGTTGATGATGAACCCAAACAGCTTGTGTCGCTTCGCGTGGATAACAAAGCAGTCCGTGTCTCTAGTGGATGTGGGATCGCTTGGACGCCCAGGAGAGCGTTCCGATGGTGGCCTTCCAAACCGGACCATGACGGCCAATACCCTGGACAGCCACATGGAGCATACCAACGAGACTCTGAAGATGCGCCTCGGGAAGCTTGGCCTCAAGCATTCCTTTTCAACGGTGTCTCTTTTGTTTGTTTGTTTTCAATCCGGGCCTTTGAATTCCATGTGGTTTCCCCACCCGGCAGGTTTGGGGTTGTTAGCGTCCAACCACCGCCCGCCCGCCTTTCTGCTGCTGTCGGCCCATGTAGTTGGATCTTGGGGCGCGCAAGAGCTTCACTGGTCTCTCGAAGAAAAGGGGTGTACCCCGCGCCAAACAGGAAGTGATATTGGCAAGGCTGCTATTGTTTGGGGTCAGCGCTGCCTTGCTTCCATTTTCATGCTTGAGGCCCCGCGCGTCGGATTGACCGTTTGGTGCCTGTGTGGTTGTAGGCCAGTCTCTGGGGTAGGGATTGTTCGTGGTAAAGTGCGTGTTTGGGAAGAGGGGTGTGCCAATGTTGACCAGGCTCCTAAGGCATTCTTTGTTGGGCAAACCGTTTTGGGCTGCATCTAGCTTATGGCAATTGGCATGTTGAGAGGTTGGGCAATCCGGTTTTAAGGACATGAATGAACATCTCCCAAGCTACCAGCTCCTGCCGTGCGGTTGGGCCAGGCCCTGGTTCATTTTCAATTGACCGGCTCAAAGGCAATCCTTAACCCCCTCCCTTGATGTAGGAACGCTGCAAAATCAGAATCCCCAAAAGGTTGTTCTAAGATAAGCCAGTATGGCCCCTTTGTTGTGGCTTCCCATGCGAAATTATTCATTGGGGTCTTGCAACTCTTTCGAACAGCCCAGCTTATTTCTCGTGGCATCGTTCCTTTGTCCACGTTCAACCCCATTGAGGCTTTGGATGTCCTGGGGGTTGCAGAGCGAGGGGCCGCATTGCACACTTTTGCCTTGTTTCTTGAGTGTGATGCTTGCGAGTTGGGAGACGAACTTCCGGGGCTGAACTTGCAGCAAACACGAAAACCGCATATTCTTGGGGATTAATTTGGCGCTTGTGCCAGGGGCACTGGCACGCAACGCTGATGAATGTTTAGAAGCAAGATTATGATATGACCATTTCGGGAGGATCCCAATCCCTGCTTCGCATTTCCAAAGGTGATTTCAGGGCGAGCCACTGGGCCTTGTGGTCAGAAGGTTCGGCCTCAGGAAGACCCGTGGCCCGGTCACGGGGGAGGAGCTGCATGATGCGGTGGTCGCATTGGGCTTGACCCGGTTCTCTGTGCAAGATGTGAACCTCTTGCTCAACCGCTTGGGAGAATCCTGGCAGAAGAGCCAAACTCTTGGAGTCAGCCGCCTTCTTGTTTGAAACCTCGGAGGCTGCAATACTCGGAGTGAATAGACAGGTTGTTGTTTTAGAAACCGTGGATGTTTCAAATCACGGCTTCTTTGGCAAGCAAACTCTTGGATGTGGCGGCGTGCTGTTTTGTTAAGCACTGTGATGTTTTTGACATTGAAGTTGCCAGATTGGTGCTATGCGCTTTGGTTGTTTCATAGTTGTCGACCTCACACCATGATGCATGCAGGTGCTGAAAGGCACCCGGATGACCGGCAGATCCATTGTTCTGTTTGAGTATGGCACATGTTAGAATGTCCCCTTTAAAGCTGGAGCGATTGGGAGTCTATGAGCCGTTGAGTTTTGTGTCAACACCTCATTCAAGCAAATACATATTCCTGTACTAACCTCCTCAAACGTAAGCTTCAAGATGTTTTAAGAGGCCACAGAGCGTAGCAGGGCAGCGTGGATGTGCACGGGCACACATGATGTGCTTCTAGAATCAGGTCTTGAACTGTGTGTCCCATGGGCACCCCACTCACGGTTGTCGGGTGGCTTCTGGTGAGTGCCGCTTTGCCTCGTGCAAAAAAAGCGCATGCCTGGAACCTTCACAAGGAACAATTGCTTGCTTATATTGCAGTTTGTTCTGCTTGATTGATTCTCCAGGTGGAGAATGCAGAACATGCGCGGAACTGCAACTCATGTCTTTGAAATTTGCATGTGTCAACCACCCCTGTCTGGGACATTTGAGTGAAATATGCAGACATCTACGAGAAATATGCGGAAATCAGCCGAAGCGCCAAAACCGAGTTCCAAGCTTTTGTGGCTGGGGATCAATAAGCGTTTTGCGTCGCGATATACGTTTTTGACAGGCATGAGCGTATTTCGGTAAATGTCGAAAAGTGTTCCTTAGCAGCATCCAGGTTTAGCACAAGCCATGAACTCTTTCCAGAGTTTTTGCTCTCTTGAGTCCTTTTTTGCTACACGGTAAGCCTTACAAATGCCTGGGACCGGTTACGTCGAATCAATGCTCACCAGGCCCTAAGGCTTGAGATGGAGCTTGATTTGTAAAAGCCAAGCACGGGCTCAAGGCCTGGGCTTTGCGTTACTTGCTGGAGGCTGAGGTCCTTGGCATTCTGAGCTTCGGTTGGCGGGTTGTTTCCCACTTCTGTGATGCCAAGGAACCTCCCCTGTCTTTTCATGGAGAAGTACAGTCATAAGGACTTCCTTCCATTGGTATCTCAGAAGTGGCGCATGACCATGCTGAGGATTTCATCGACTTGCAGTATGAGCCACTTGATCCCAGCAAGAAGCAGCCCAAGCTCTCCCACTCTGGCACGCTGATGACAAGGAGCTCTGTGAAGCAACATGTGACCGCCCACGGTGTCGAGGTCAAGAATTGCAAGGCAGTCTGGAAGTGGCCGGAGGAGGCAAGGGATGGACAACCACAGACAGAATAATCTTCCAAACAGTTCATCGACGAACCTGGTAAACGGGTCCTTACATGGATTCTATGTCCGCGGAGTTGGTACACCCTTTTTGCCCTTCTGAGATGGGACAAATTGAGTCAGGAAACCGCAAGCCATGGGCCAGAGGGGGTGCAAGCGATCCAAGGCAGGTTGGCCCCACAACTCCGTTTGGGCGCCTTCTATTGGTTGGCGTTGCCTTCGTTTAGGCCCATGTACGCTTGACTAGGTTGAAGGCCTGCAAGTGAAATCTCGCTTCCCGGCTTTGTCCAAAGGTGTGTTTCTGTGTTTCATAGTTTGAACATCTTGCAAGTTGACAACCAAAGAGGCCTGCAAAAGGTTGAATGCCCCCTTTGAAATGAGCACCGACCTGCGGTCAACCCTACTTTGAGGCATGCGTTTTGGAGGCGTAGAGGCTCATGTACCACACAACCAATTTTTCGACAGTAAAGTATACACCCCAGTGGTACACGCGCGCGCAACCTGCTTCAGACTGCCCAGGCTCTCCACAACAGGCCGGGATTCCAATGGGCTGGGCGCTCCGAGCTCCCGTCGCGGGAGTACAACGCGGTGCCGTTTCGGGCTCTGGTGCTGGCCTGTCGCATGGAACAGGACAATTTGGGTGTTGAATTGATTTTGACAAAGGGAATATCCCAGAAAACTCCATAATGAGGTGTCCTTTTGCGAAGGACGATCATAATTTTCAGTTTGTTTTTCCCGAGGGGAAAGGAAAAGCGGAGCATTTGGTAGTTTTCCAAACCTATTTATAAGAGACCAGTTTTGAGATTGCGGTTTTTGCTTCCCTGTGGGCAACTCAGAAAGTACCAACTCAAAAGACACTCAGACCCAAATGGCGATAAATGTGTGAGCGACCCCTCAGCAGTTGGACATAAATCCCCTAAACGATGTCCAGCAAAAGGTAGCCAATTGAAAATGTGACAGGGTCCCTCTATTTCCCTTGCAAGCAAGTGAATTTCTATCACTTGTTGAGCTACTACTCAAGAGCCCTGTATGACCCCAGTGCCTAAGTTAATTGTGCCTATTTTATCGCATCGATCCGAGGGTTAAAACAAGCTCGGGCCTAATGATGAAGGTGCTTTACTTGGGTCTCCAATTTGTATTTCAGGTTTCGGCTTTTCTTTTTTATTTTTAAAGACATACAGCTACTTCATTGCACTTCTGCAGTCGTCCTGCCAGCTTCCATGATTAGACGGAGGTAATTAGCATGGGTTGGTGAGAACGAAAAAGCTAAGTTGCTCCATCAGAAGATGATATGTGTGCAATTGATCATTTTGGCCTTACCCAGTAAGTGATTTCGTGGTTGCCGTTTGTGACCTTTTTCGGATTGTTTAAAGCGAGGTCGAAAGGACATTTAGGAGGTCTCATCTTCGAGACAAACTTGAGAACAAGTTGGAGTTGCACCCCTCTGTGTCGCTTGTTGTCAGGGAAAGACTCGTAAAACTCCGCAACAAGCAGACCCTCCCTCGTAGGAATCTTAAAGTGGAATCCTTGTGGTATGCGCACGGGGTCTGCAAACCACCCGCCAAACAGCTTGGCCTGAATAAAGCTTACGAAGCCCAATCGTTTGGGGGCAGCTTTGCGAGTTGTTGCGGAAGATCTCTCGAATGCAAAGGAGGGCTTTCAACAAGGGATTGGTTGCCTCAGTTGCCCAAAGTGAACTGCAGGTTTCTCCTGTGATGGACTTTGAGTTTTTGCCTTTGAAGGAGCCTCTATTTTCTACGCTTGCTGCATATGTTCAGCCCAGGTCTTCAAATACCCAGGGCCCCTACTTAGATGTGGGCAAATGTGTTGGCAGGGCTGCAACGCTGAAGGGCCTCTTTGAGTATCCCAGCCCAATAAATCCCAGATGTCTCGAGGATGCGAAGCGGATCTTCGGGTCCTCCTACGACCTCTTCAACGCCATCAAGGACCCATGCGTCCGGATGGTCATGGGGCAAATGCACCCCCTCGCTGCGTTTCCCCTCTCGGGTGGAATGGAGATCTTGGTCTTTTGCGTGGGTGCGATTGACCATTGTCGAATGAGTTTGCTCTTGCTTGGATTTATTCATAGAAGGAACTCTGTGCTCGGGAGAAAGCCAGCCATGTTATCAAGGGGAACCGTGAGCTCCATGTCACGCCCCTTGTGGAAAATAGGGGTTTTCCGCGAAGCGCCTGCAAACACAGCTTTCGGAACGCCATCGAGGTTTGCCCGATATCGAGGAACCGCCATTTTGAAAGGAACACCCACTGAAATTTCACCAAGCCTCCCAAACACCCGGGTTATTTTGTCTTTTCACCATGTTGTTGTTGTTCCCAAATGCGTAGCATAGGGTTCTCGTTTCATCTTGGGGGTCTGGGGGTGAAGCCTTGTTTGCCGGATGTCGTGCAACTGTCCGCAACCGTTCGTATGATTGCGCTATGGCTCTCTCAGTGGGGAAGCGAGTTTGATGACTTGTGATGTGCTGTTTTCGTTGGACCTGTGCGCGAATCGTAGCTTCTCAAGCTCGACGTGTCTTGGAACGCTCGCACAAGCGTGTCGTTTTCGTTGGCCCTTTCGTACAATCGGCTCGTTTTCACGACTGCAGATTTGATAGTTTTCCGCGCGCGGTGCAAGAGTGTCAAATTCTGATTTCGTGGCAGGCGCAGCTTTTTGACCGTTTTGCATGTCGCTGTAACGTGGTTTTTCGTGACAGGCGCAGCACTTTAGAGTTCTTCGTGCAGATTTCGTGGCAGGCGCAGCACTTTGGATCTTTTCGTGCAGATTTCGTGGCAGGCGCCGTGCTCCTGCGCGGCGATGTCCTGGCAGGCGCAGCACTTTGGGTGGGTCGCATCGCTCTCGCCGTGGCGCGGTGCACTTATTGAAAACGCAAAGCGAACCCTGTGCGCACTTTGGGTGGGTCGAATCGCTCTCGCTGTGGCGCCATGCGCATTCTGAAGCTTCAAAGTGGGCCCTCTGCACACACTTTGGGTGGGTCAAATCGCTCTCGCTGTGGCGTGGCGCACATATTGAAAACGCAAAGTGAACCCTCTCCGCACTTTGGGTAGGTCGAATCGCTCTTGCTGTGGCGCGGCGCACATTTTGAGACAAGAGACGTGGCAAAAGACCTTTCTCAGAAGTGTCGCTCAGAAGTGTCGACCAGAAGTGTCGACGAGAAGTGTCGGTGAGAAGTGTTGCTCAGAGGTGTTGCTCAGAACCGTCGATCA